GATGGATGGATGTATGGATGATGGATGGATGGATGGATGGGAGGATGGATGGATGATGGATGGATGATGATGGATGATGGATGGATGGATGGATGGATGGATAATGGATGGATGATGGGAGGATGGATGGATGGATGGATGGATGGATGGAATATGGGACTCCTCCCTCCTGGGCATCCTGAGTTGTGAGAATGTAACAGTTGTTAATTAGACCCCGCCCCCTTGATTTTTTAATCTTTGATCACGCTGCGTCTTCATTAAAGCTTCAATGGTTCAGAAAGTGCAGCTCAGATTCCCTGAGATGACCCAAGCAGAACATGCAGCATGGATTGACTCACGTTTGGTGCTGAGTAGATCTGCACCGTTACAGTCCTCCACACTGATTCATCTCATCTATGAGCAGCATCCAGATCTCTGCTCAGGGTGTTTTTATACGTCTGTTTCTTTCACTGTGCAGACATTTGTGTGTCCATCGCTGAGAGTGTCCTCTCGCCTCACATCTCAGCATTAGATGATCCCAGAACAACCAAAGAGCAGAGCTGGAGGAGGAAAGGGAAAGCTCAAGCTAAGATTACTCCCAAAGGTAAGAGTGGAACTTCAAGAGATGCACAAAACTCACTCACTGTCGTGTCTCCTTCATTACTTGCATATATATATATATATATATATATATATATATATACATGTATATATATATATATATATATATACATGTATATATACAAAGTATATAGTGGTCATATATAGTCAATACACGTCTCTCATGGTGGGGGGGTGGATTCCTCGTGACTCCCTAGCTATGTTTACATGGACATAAGTAATCGGATTAAACGGCATCCAGATTATTGTTTGTTGATTCAACTCAATCTGAATGAATTTGTAATGAGAGGGCTGGTTCATGCCAATCCAAGTGCGCATGTGAACCCTTAATCTGATCATTTTATTCTGATTGAGGGGAACCTGACCTGACTGCGCATGTGCGACCTGTCCACGTCACGTGTTTCCGCCTGGCCAGACGCTAACATGTCGGGGAAGTGAAACTGTTTTGTTGTAGAAACGTTGAAAGAGCTCAGGATGATGTGCATCACCTGCAGCTCGGTCAGGGAGCGCAGCAACGTCTCCACCGACATTCAAACCTGTCCAGGGTCCATTTTGGTGCTCAGCTTTGTTTACGTTCACCCCGGAAGTAAACCGGAAGTAGAACTTCTTCTTCTGTGGTTTTTTTAAGAGTTTACCACTCTGTGCATGTCAGTGGTCCAGAACAAAGCCCGCTGCGTGAAACGCTCGTCATGAACGGACTGTGCCCATTTAAACGATACATTTGAACAATTTAATGTGAAAACATTTCAATCCAGTCAAAGAACTGTGCACATGTAAACGTAGCTAATGAGACGAGCTCATTGGTTCATTGTGGTTGACTGTTGGTCACATGGCCTCAGGGAGGGATTATGGGTAAAATTTATGTTCATTTTTAATCATTTCAGTTAGCTGTTTAGCATTGTTCTTTTAGTGATTAGTCTGTTCTTGTTAGTTTATGTCTTACTTTGTGTTAGGCCATTCAGCAGAGTGTAGTGAACTAGGCCTCGACCTCAACATGTCTCTGAGGACCTTCATGGGACAGGAACTGTTATTTCATTCATTTGAATCCAGAAATACAAATTAGCTCATCCAGAGACTGTTAATTGTATCCTGAACTAATCAATTGAAAGAACACTCTTCTTTTTATGTTATCATTACTATTTTACAATATCTTGATAATCAAAAGTGTGTTTAGTTCATATCATTTCTAATGTTGAAGTGAACCACTCATTTAAATAAACTGTGAAACAGTATTAATGATTTTTAAACCTCATTTAAATTAGAAATCAAGTTAAATGTCTATTTACAAAGTAATTATGCATTTTGATTTTCTGTCTAAATGAGAAGTAGTGTAGTTGGTCGAAAGTCAGAGACAGTCAGAAAATAAGTTATTAGAATGAACTGTGTTGTTTTTAAACCTAGCAGACGATAAATAACTGCCACTGGCACCTGCCTCCTCTCACTTCTTCATAACATTTCTCTGTCTGTACTAAACGTCCCTAAACATTCCAGAACCCTCTCTTGACTTTTAATAACCCTCTGACATCACTAGAACCACCCCCTGTTGGTTGTTTCAACCAATCAGGAAGTACTAAGTGACCGGAAGTGAGGACTCTTTAAAAAGTCAACACTTCCTGGAACTATTCAGTCTTGGAAGAAGCGGAGTCTTCTCGACTCTTCAGTCTTTGAACTCAGTCTCTGATTATGGAGTCTTCCTGAGAGTTCCTAAGGAACTTTCAGATTTAATCAATAGCTGATGGATTTGACCGTGAGACGAGGGTCCGTCCATCTCAGCGGAGTTACAGCGCCTTGCTGTGAACTCACCCGGGCGTAACGCCTACAACCTCGAAGGGAGCTAGTCCTGTTTACCGGAGTAAACCATACGACTTCTGACAATGACCAGCTGCTTTAACCGGAGACGCTGGAAAGGTAGCGTTGAAATGGACCCGGTACCGGAGCTGATTCATCTTCTGCGAAGGTAACGAGTCGTCGCGCGCTAAGTGTACCGGAGGTTTGAGCTGGTGTCGAAAGAAGCGTGCTAATTCTGGTCAACAAAAACCTACATCTTTCCTTCATCCATCTTTCTCTAAATAACTCCTCTTGTAAATCTTTCTGCCAGTAAATCAATCTAGATGCCTTCAGTAATGTTCTGTTGTCTTGTTAGTAAAGCGTGCCAAGTTTTTATTAATCAGAACCAGATCAGCGAATCCAGTGTACAATGTTTTGATGTTAAATTTTGATTCTGTTCAATAAATGACCGCTTTTATTCTGATGGGTCAAAGAAAATAACGTTTCCTGTCACTGATTAAACAATGAACACAGTTATCTCATCACATGGCATTAATTTAACTCGAAAAAGAAAGAACCCGTTGTAAATAATTAATTAGTAGTGAAGGTACAGCAAAGTTGTCTGTTGACATACTACTACATTCAGTAGCCCGTACGTGTTTTAAATAACATAAACGGTGGCCCGTGTGTCCACAGTTAAGCTGTCCCCCACAGTTACTACAAGAGTAACCATGAGTGAGGGAGGAGTCCTGATGCTGCTCAATAATCCAGGTACAAAAATCTAAAAAAGTTAAATCTGGTCCTCTGGACATTAAAAAAACAACAACAAACAAAAAAAAGTGAGGGAGGTAGTTGTTATGAAGACCTGTGGGCTTCACTCTGACTGTGTTGAACAGGATGATAAAGTCACAAGGACCCACCCCTTGAGGACCCACCCCTCCAGGACCCACCCCTCGAGAGATGTGTATTGGGCAGCTATGTGAGCACCAAATATTTTAGTGGCAGGAAACTCGTTAGCCCTTACAGGAGGGTGGACGGTGATCCCCATTGCGACGGCTCGGACGAACACCTCAGCGCTGAACTTGTAATTTTTCCTGACTTACTGACGTTAAATGGTAAAAGGAATTTACCTCTTGACTTTATTAAGTTCGTGTGAGTTTCTTCTCCACCTGGGAACGAAAAGAACCTGAAGGGCGCCGTGGTAGGACATAGTCCAGTCATCTGGAAGCTCTTTCTTACCACCCAGAGCCAACAGCTCCTCTCTGAATTTATCACAACATTCTTCCTTCTTCATCTTCCACCATTTGGTCTTCTTCTCTGATTTGACTCTTTTTCTCTTCTTCACAACAACAGTCATTCTACACACAACCATCCGATGCTGTCTGGCCACACTCTCCCCTGCCACAACCTTACAGTCTCCAATCTCCCTCAGGTTTCCTCTTCTACACAGAATGTAGTCGACCTGCGTACTCCTTCCTCCACTCTTATAGGTCACTCTATGCTCCTCCCTCTTTTGGAAACAGGTGTTGACTACAGCCATTTCCATTCTCTTGGTGAAATCCACCACCATCTGTCCTTCCTGGTTTCTTTCCTTGACACCTAACCTACCCATCACTTCCTCATCCTCTGTTTCCTTCACCAACATGTCCATTCAAGTCTGCTCCATCACCACTCTCTCCTCCCTGGGAATACTCTCTATCACTTCATCCAGATCTTTACAAAATGTATCTTCCACATCACATCCAACATGTGGAGCATAACCACTGACAACATTTAGCATCAGACCTTCTACTTCTACCTTCAGACACATCACCCTATCTGACACTCGTTTCACCTCTACTACATTCTTTACCAACTCCTCCTTCAGGACCACCCCTACTCCATTTCTCTTTCTATCCACACCATGGTAAAACAGTTTGAACCCTGCTCCAATGCTGCGAGCCTTGCTGCCCTTCCACTTGGTCTCTTGGACACCACAACACATCTACCTTCCTTCTCAGCATCATGTCAGCCATTTCTCTACCTTTGCCTGTCATTGTCCCCACATTTAGAGTTGCAACCCTCAGTCCTACATTCTTCACTTTCCTCTTCTCCTGCTTGTCAACAGCACCGGTGGAGGTCGTTGTTAACCCAGGCCTTGACCGATCCTGTGGTTTTGCTTTGATGAACTCGCATCATAGTTTTGGCAGAAGTGTTTTACGCTGGATGTCTTTCCTGCACAACCCTCACCATTTACCTGGGCTTGGGACCAGAACCAGAGGTCCACTGGCTCGTGCTCCCTGGTGGCAGGTTTAGAATAATATATACTCAATGTGACTAACTTGTGTAAATAAAGGTTGAATGAGTCTAAGAGGACTTCCTGTAAGTTAATAATAAGAGAAAAGCTCTTTGAGGCCTTTTTCACTGCAGCTGTTGTGTCCAGCTCATATTCGCTGGTTATTGTTATAACGAAGAATGTTTCTTTATCTCTGACATGACCACATACACAGCAAAGGAGAAACAAACGCTTGGATAAAGATATTTGAATGTTAAACCCAACATCTAACAATGTTGTACACGTCTGTAAGAGTTTGTTTCTGTTCTCCAGTTCAGAGTTGGTTTGCTGCTTTGGACATTCATTTTATTTTTGTCTTCCTGTCTGAGGTCACGAGGGCGACTCTTGCTTACGCTCATCTGATTGTCTGGACGGCTACTGCTGCGCTCGTCATTTCTGGACAAAGATCTGCAAACCGGTGCTGAGGCAGGGAGAGGTGTGCACCAAGCAGAGGAAGAAAGGCGCTCACGGCCTGGAAATCTTCCAGCGCTGCGACTGCGCCAAGGGCCTCTCCTGCAAGGTGTGGAAAGACGCCACCTCCTCATCCAAGTCCCGGCTGCACATGTGCCAGAAGATCTGAACGTCGGGGCAGCGGCCGTGGGCTCTGAACTGTCTCATCTGCCACAGAATTTATTTTGTTTTTTTGGAAGAAGAAGTTGTGGCTTCATTGAAAAGGAGTGAAAGACTACACTCCTCCAGTGGAGAACAGATGGAAGTGGTCCATCCCTGCACTCAAAGTCAAGCACGCATCGTCAAAAACAAACGCGCACACACACACACACTGCTCCCAGCTTTGTGAGGTAAATAATCTAAAGTGTGCCTGTTGAAAGATATTCTGTAGATTACCTTCAGGGAGCCACAGAGAGCGCAGATGCTGCTGAAGGTGGAGCAACAGATGTAGCAGCTCAAACTTCTCTGCACAGCCAGGAAGTCCGTATTCTCCAACATCTGCAACCACTTAACGCCTTCAGTGCCCAAAACTCCATGATTTATAGGATCGTTTTTCTTCTAAGATTTTATAGTACATTTGTATATTTTTATGTGAAGTCTCAAAGGGTCCAGTAATTGTTCTGAAAAATATCTACAACAAGAGTCCACATGTGCTGAACATCACAAAGAGCGAGTCGCGTGCACCGCTAACTCGCTGACATGTAACACCTAATGCTCATAAAGCAACGAGTCAAAGAGCGTTTGTGTTGGACCTGATGACTTTCATCTGCTCGCCTCTCTGTTCACCAGGAAAACACAGAGATCTTGTATTCTTATTTGCTCTGTCGGCTGCAGCTGTGATCATCTGTGACTTCCTGCCTCGTGTGCAGACGGACTCGTACCGACAGCAGACACAAAACAGGCTCTGCTGATCCGCTCAGTGACACTCAAGGATGTCAGGAAGTGCACTGATGCTTTTAGGAAGCAAGTACTGAAACAGAAAGAATCCAATTCCATTTGTTGTTTTGTTGACGGGCCACACGTTGGCTCAGTTGGTAGAGCTGTTGCATCTCAACAAGAAGGTTGCTGGTTCAAATCCCAGCCGGGGACCTTTCTGGGTGCAGTCTGCATGTTCTCTCCGTGCTACGTGGGTTTTCTACAGGAACACTGGTTTCCTCCCACAGACCAAAAAACATGCATGTTAGACTGATTGGTAACTTTAAATTGTCCCCAGTGTCCTTGTGATGGACTGGAGACCTGTCCAGATGTCTCCCGCCTCTCACACAATGACCGCTGGATATGGACACCAGTGAACCAAAAAGGAAGAAGCGGGTAAAGATGATGGATGGATGCATGATAGATGGATGGATGGATGAATGAATGATGGATGGATGGATGGATGGATGGATGGATGGATGGATGGATGGATGGATGATGGATGGATGATGGATGGATGGATGATGGATGGATGATGGATGGATGGATGGATGGATGGATGGATGATGGATGGATGGATGGATGATGGATGATGGATGGATGATGGATGGATGGAT